TATGAATGTCTTGGTATAGTTGGTATGTTGACTGCATGGTATGAATTGGGTTTATTTGGAACGCATATGAAGAAAGGAAAGCACCAAGTTAGGGGGAGTAATTCATTGGAAAGCGTGACATATATGGTATGTTTGATACAACACTTTTTCGTGCATGATTCACTATTTATTAATTGGATGAAGTTTGTGAGTCAACATCAACCAAGATTCAAAATAAAATCCCACACACAAATAAGCTTTGGTCTGGTCTTAAGAGAATTTAATTTCACATTTGTTTTCTTTATATGTTCAGTACGTATACTATGGGATGTTAATAAAATATTCATTCCTTTTCCCAAAGTATAATGATACTATTGTTTTACCAAATAAATTGCCAAAGGGGGAGATTGTAAGTGTACAAAATAGTACACATTAGATTGGCTAATTTATTAGTTTATTTTATTAATATGTAATGTTAATTAAATTGATTTGTAATTAGTCTTATTGGACCAAGCTAAAATGTGTGGTGGAGATTTATTGTTAATGAATTGGACAAAGAGCAAGTCTGAAGATCTCAAGTTAAAAGAAGATGTGGTTGAGAAGAATTCAAGCCACATGTGAAAGCTATAATCAAGGCATGGTGAAATGGAAGCTACGTACAGTATATAAGGAAGGGAAAATGAAAGAGGATGTTGCCAATTCTGAAATTCTGATCTCATACGCAAGATTCCTACATTACTGCTTTAATATTGATTATATTATTTGTGATTTAAATCTGTACTACAAATCAGTACCTGTGACAGCTGAAGTGCTACACCAAAGATGGTTATGGCATGCACGGTTCAGTCCTGAGTAGGTGTTTTAGAAGAGTTGTAGTGGTAAAGGCTGTGAGCCGTTTGTAGTTACCTCTTGTAATACTCTGTGGTGAACATATAGTGGATTGGGCAGACGTGGGTTGCCCCGCAGACGTAGGAGAAGGAGCTCCGAACTGCGTAACAATTCTACTGTGTCTTTACTTTATTTACGCTTTCAATTTCATTATTTATACGTTGATTAAAGTGATTTAATTAAACAGTGAAATTGTCTCGTAACATAAAATCAAGTAGAATCCTTAGTGTTAAATTGATTTCAAGATACACGAGCTTTTTCAATAATACTTATTATTAGTGAAGGGACTGGTTAGTGACACATGGTGTCTTGTGATGATGACAGGTGGGTGAACATGACTAATTGTAATACGTGAACCACACATTTTTTGGGGAGAGACCCTATATAAGGGTGCTCTTACCCACTTAAACCCCCCCCCCCTCCTCTCTTCCAAATTGTAAGATCATCGCATTACCATTCATTCACATGAATGGTCTCTTGCCCACTGTTATTTCATCTCATTAACTTGGATTCAATTCGGTACCTAATGAGTCCAATATTTATTCCTAGTTCATTTTTGGTCTAAATTATTCATTGTTTATTTATTATTTATTTCTTCGGCCGTTATCTTGGACCGTTGTATATACTCTTTTGGGTTTAGTGTCCTAAGTAATAATAATATGGAGTATTATTTTCTCATTATATTACCCCCATTTGTTACATCCCTACTCGATTTATGATGGAATTGAGTCCAATAAAGAAGTGGATAGAGAAAGGATGAGAAAATCTAAAATGAAATTTACACAATATATATATATATATATATATATATATATATATATATATATATATATATATATATATATATATATATATATATATATATATATGTGTGTGTGTGTGTGTGTGTGTGTGTGTGTGTGTGTGTATTGTAATTTTGCATTTTCTCTTTTTTGATAAATTAACAAGATTAGAGAATTGTCCGAGATTACTGATTGATTCAGTTACGAAGATAGTTAGTGATAATCAATCATGTAGAGGATGTAAGAGAAAGATAACAGCACAAACTCAACGACACAGAATATTTACCCAGTTCGATACAGTGTGTATCTACGTATGGGGGACGATCACATAGGCGTCCAATCCACTAAATCATAATCCAATGTACAAAGGTAGATATACGATAATCTTACCCAAGTGCCCCACACAAGGTACAAACCCAGTCTACACAGGTTTATTGGATTGTTGAAGATGGAGAGCCATGCATACAGAAGTCCAATGAAATCCCTTCACTTGGAGAGCCCACTCTGATGCAGTCCACTTCAATGACGCTCTTTAAGGTTGTTCCCACAACAGTGTGATCACAGTGTCCTTTCGTTTAAGCAACAGTAATCCTTCTCAAGTTCATCATCTTAATCACCATGAACATATTGTATTGAGAAGATGCATGACAATCAAAGATCTAATCTCATATAGCTGATGGGGAGTGTTTCTTCATACTTTCGGCGTAACCCTAATTCTTTTCGAGTAAGGGTACTTATAGATTCTTCAATAAACACTCTCCATAAATGACTTTGATTGTAGAAGGTAGGACTATAAAAGAGGAATGTAATCTCAGAAGATTTGGTCCATACCTTTCTTGAAAATATACGTTGATCTTCTTTCCAAACTTGTCTAATAATACCGCGTAAGACTTTTTAGAAAACAACTTCCTAAATAAGATCTTCAGTGTCAGTCCTTCTGTTGTTGCTTCTGATTGATCAGTCGTCTGTAGAGCTGGACGGACAAACTCTAAACCTATCTTAGTATGCCATAATAATATTGCCAATTATAATATGGGGTTTTTTATTTGAACATTTAAAAACACTAACATATATATATATATATATATATATATATATATATATATATATATATATATATATATATATATATATATAAGAGCGCTCATATGCGGCGGGGTCTTACCGTGCGGCGGTGCGGCGAAATTCCAGAATACACCAACAGTGTTAACAATATGCACCAACAGTGTAATAAAAACACACCACAATGAAATGCAATAAAACATCACAAAATGCACAACAGATTCAAAAAAAATACACCATATAACTCACCACCTCCAATGGTGTATTTCCGAATAGTGTATGGTGTTTTTACTCACACCTAATGGTGTGTGTTTGGTGATGCAGGACTCTGTTTACTCTGTTTTGTGTGGTGTATTTTCCTAACGTTGATGGTGCATATTTGTTGAACTATTGGTGTTGCCGCACCGTAAGACACTGCCGCACCTGAACTCGCCTATATATATATATATATATATATATATATATATATATATATATATATATATTGACCAAAACTTTTTTCTCTCTCTCTCTCCTCATTTAATATTAATTTAAGTCATGAATATTTTTTTCTTCTTTGGAAATGAATGAAATTGTTAAATTTAATTAATCGGATACTTAGTAACGTGGAATCTTTGACACATACCCTCATTTCTCGATATGCTTAATACCAATATGGTATAATTATATTTCAACGGTAGAAAAATACATATCTCTATGACTAGAAATGACAATAATATTTATATAAATAATAAATGTAAAATACCAATAAGTTAATAAATATATCCTAAAATTCTATTTCAACCTAATGGTAAAAATATAAATCTAATGAATAATAGGTAAAAATATAAATCTCCATATAAGTAGAAATGAATAATAGGTAAAAATATAAATCTCCATATAAGTAGAAATGAACAATAGGTAAAAATATAAATCTCCATATAAGTAGAAGTGAATAAAGCCAATTATATATTTTTGTTTGAGAGAAATGAGGGGAAAAGCTAGAACAAAACACAAGCTATTCTATAATAGAGATCTTCATAAAACAATGAATGCTCAAACAATGATAAAAAAAGAAGCTAATGAAGACACAACTAATATTGCCCCAAATATTTTTCCCTATTTGAAAATGAATGAAATTATTAATTATGATAAGTTGGATATTATGTGACATGGAAATTCTCTTTCTACGCAGAGTGGATATAGTAAAATTCTATTTCATTCCACAATAGCAAAATACATATCTCTATGAAAAGAAATAATAATGTTATTTATATTTATATAAATATGAAAGTAAAATTCTATTAGGCTAATAAATGTATCCCAAAATTCAATTTCAAAAATAGTAAAATATATTGATCTCCATAAAGAAATAAACAATGGCATTTATAGATATAAATTTAAACAATTTATTAATTTTTTTAAAAATTATTCATTGACACCTTTAAAATGAATGAAATTGTTAAATTTGATTAATGGGATATTATTATCTGACGTGAAATTATTTATAGATAATACAATACTTTTTCAATATGCTTAGAGTGGTTATGGTAAATTTATATTTTGACTATAGTAAAATACATATCTCTGTGAATAGCAATGACAACCATATTTATATAAATAATAAAAGTAAAATACTAATATGTTAATAAATATATCCTAAAATTCAATTTCAACAATAGTAAAACTATATACCTCCACAAATAGCATTCAAAAAAAAAAAATATACCTCCACAAATAGAAATAAACAATGACTTTTTTCCTTTTTTTTTTTTTTTTGAAAGAGAGAGAGAAGAGGAGGGAAAAACCTAAAACAAAATGTAAACATTTTATTAATGTTTTTTAAATATTCATTTACGGGCATGTTTTTCCCTCTTCAAAATGAATGAAACTTTTAAGTTTGATTAGTTGGATACTAAGAGGTATGAAATTTTTGAGACAATACAATCCTTTCCTGATATGCGTAGAGAAAATATGGTGAAATTCTATTTTGACGGTAGTAGAATACATATCCCTATGAATATAAATAACAATGATATTTATATAAATAAGAAATGTAAAATACTAATATGCTAATAAATATATCATAAAATTCTATTACAACATCAGTAAAAATATAGATGTTTGTTTTTCCCTCCTCATTTAATATTTATTAAGGCCATGAACATTTTCTCTTTACGGAAATGAATAAAATTGATAAATTTGATTGACTGATTGGATACTAAGTGACCTGAAATCTTTGAGACATACCATCATTTCACGATGTGCTTAATACAAGTATGGTAAAATTCTGTTTCAACAATGGTATAATTAGTAAAATCTGACTTCAATACAGTCCTGGAATGTAGCAAGGCAAATGGGGCAGCCATTGGTTGTTCCCGCACAGCTCTTGCACAGGCAAAGATGTCGGCACGGCCATGCCATCATCGTTGCAGACTCTCTCCGGCATATTTTGCACAACCCCGCCGCATCGCCGCCGCCTCCTTGGTGCAGGGCGACATTGAGAGCAGCGTTGGTTTTCTCAAGAGTATTGACCCTCTCTGCCATGGCCAAAGCTTGAGTTCTGTAATTGGCAAGCATGGCTTCCATCTGCTTATTCTGCCTCTCCGCCTCATACTGCCGCTTACACAATTCCTCCAGCATTTCACTCACCACAGCCCTCTACATTCATGTTAAGTATACATATATATAAATTAAAGAATCAAAATGATACACCATGCATATAAGTTCGACTTTAAAATTACTTATTTCGTCTTATTGGTTTAAGCTCCCTTTGCACGTTAGGTAACAAGGCAGGATTTACCTGTGAAAAAAAAAAAGTTATGAAAAGGGATTGAGTTATTACTTTATACTTAAGAGGTTGGGGCGCGTACGGCCTGACGTTTAAGCCAAGGGACGATGACGACGCTCCAGGTTGACCTAGATGCAACTGTGGGTTCAACGGCGGCGGAGTGGGGAACCGTGGCGGCGACGCTAGGGACGGCGCTCCTGGTTGACTACCAAGCCGGAACTGCAGGTTCAACGGCGGCGGCGGCGCTCCCGCTCCCTCCCTTTGATTCGGCGGAATGGGGAGCCCTGGCGGCGGCGGCGAGTGCGTCATTTCACCACCTTCCGGCGCCTTCCTCTTGTGGTCACCGCTTGAAGAAGCAAGCATGTTCAGACACACTCTATTAATTTACGCTTTCTTCGTTTTTTCTCTCAAAACTTTTGCATGAAAAACAAGAGAATGGTGTGATTATAAATAGGGAGAAGACGTGGGTGGCAATCCGGCGGGAATTGTCTGACGTTAGGTTTTCAAATTAGATTTTATCCCATTTTATTTTATAACAACTGTCAAAATATATAATATAATACGGAGTAATATAAAATAAATTTAATATTTAATGATGAAAATTTTGATTTTTTCGGGACAATTATATCTAAACTAGTTATAATAGGCACATTATACAATTAAATTAAATTAATGTCCAACACAAAAATTAAAATAAGTAAATATTTAATATAATTTTTAAATATGAAAATTAATTAATATAAAATAAAATGATTATTTTGAACATAATCAAAATTAGTGTTTTCAATTTGTAATAAAAATGTAGTAGTAAAGATGAATTGTATTGTCCTAGATAGTTATTATCGAAAATAAAAATCATGTCTACTAAAAATTTTCATATTAAAATAAAATAAGTATTCATCTTAAAGTTCAGAGAAATTTTGTTACATACATAGTAAACCGACTTATAATAAAATGTACATTTTAATTAACTAAATATATATTTGGAGTATAAAATTAAAATTTGTGCTACAACAAATAATATTCGATTTAAGAAAAGTGAAGACGGTATATTCTTAGAATAATTATAGTATGACATTTATATTAATTCTTTTAAGATGAATATTCAAAAAATAATATTTTTCATTGTTTTTAATAATTGAAAAAAAAAACAAATTAAATTAACTAAATATTTTGGTATCTTAATTCTTACCAAAAAGAAAGCAAATAGTTGTAAAAACTAAAAAGTATAAAAATATAAATATAAAAAAAATGGCACGAGTTCATTTTTATGTACACTAATGATAAAAACAAAATGTCCATCATCATCATTGTTGTTGTTGTTGTTTTTATTAAAAGGTTAGGAGATATTTTGCAACTAGTCAAGTTAAGAATAATAAAACGTTACCGGAATACCATTACTAAAGTCTATACATAAATGGAAACGTTAAAAAAATATGGTAACTTAGGAAAAGTCTTATTATTGTACAATGAATGAATCAAAATATACAAGTTATCAATGGACATGATTATACCAACATATTTTATATATATTCCCGTTGTAATATTACTGATATTGGCTCTTATATAATTTTATCATGTTAAATTTGTATTTAATTATATTGTTCGACGCTAAAAATTTTCAATTCTATTGAGTAAGCTAGCAATAGTTCGTTGGTTATTTCAATATTTGATCTTGATTTTGTATGTGTGGAATTTTTTTTTTGGAGGTTTTAATTTTTAATTTTCTGTTTTGAGTGATGAGGGAAACCTAATTTTTTAAATTTTTAGTTTTATGAAGTCATACATGCCCGCATGCAGGGGATACAATTCAAGGAGTCCACAAATAGAGAAGGTGGCACATTGGTGCGCATGTAGGTATTAGGACTCTATCATCATTAGTGTTCGTTACCTATTATTATTAGTAATTAGTGTTCGTTACCTATTATTATTAGTATTCGTCTTGCAATAGGTTTACTATTCACTACTATATATACTCCTGTACAGACTCATTATTATTCATTCAGATATATCGTATCCTCATCTGGTATCAGCAGGTTTCTCTCTCCTCTCTCTAATGGCGCACCTCGGATCTGATGACGGCTCTGTTGGTAGTTCTGAACGGACCGTTTCCGAGGCCGCACTTGTTGCACCGCTGCAGTCGGGGGTGTCTTTCTCTTCGGCGCATCACTTCGTCTCCATCAAGTTGACATCCCGCAATTTTTTGTTTTGGCGTACTCAGCTTCTTCCGTTCTTGGATGGCCAAGGGTTGTTGGGTTTTGTCGATGGTACTTCGGTATGTCCGCCGATCACCGCGCTTGCCGTGCCGCCTGCCGAGGGAGCTGTTCCTGCCGTGCCTTCGTCGGCTTCGTCTTCCGCTGCTCGGAGTGCATGGCTCCGTCAAGATAAGGCCGTGCTCTCCTTATTAATCTCATCTTTGTCCGACGAGATGATGCACCTCGCAATCGGTAAGTCCACTTCTCGGCATTTGTGGTTGGCAATCGAACAGGTTCTTGGTTCGACTACACGGGCTCGTGCCCTCCGGTTGGTGGGCGAGTTACAAGGATTACGGCAGGGGGATGCTTCGATCCCGGACTATCTTGGCCGTGCGCAGGTGCTTATCGAGGATTTAGCGCTTGCCAGCCGTCCGGTGATGCTAGAGGATCAGAATATGTATATATTCTGAGGCTTGCGGTCCGAATATCGTCCTTTGGTGGCGTCGCTCACAAGGGGTGCTCCAGTGTCTCTGCCCGAGCTATCCGATTTTCTTGTTTCGCAGGCTTTTATATGTGCCGATGATGCTGGTGATGTTGCTGCTGCTCCGGTCGCCATGGCGGCTCAGCGAGGTGGAGGCCGTTCGGGCGGGCAGCAGCGTGGAGGCAGCAACCGCGGCCGTGGTCGCGGCAAAGGGCGTGGCGGTGCCGGGGCTGTCCAGTGCCAGATCTGCTCCGGCGAGGGCCATTCGGCCGCTTCGTGCTTTCGCCAGTACGATGGAGCTCCGGGGCCGAGAGCGCATGTTGCGTATCCTGTGGATGATGCGGCTTCGGTTAGCACTCAGCAATGGTTTCCCGACACTGGTGCGTCGAACCATGCCACCCCAGATCCGTCTTTAATGTCCTCGACGGTCTCTTATAACGGTCCGGATCATCTTCGTGTTGGTGACGGTAAGTGTTTACCTATTGTTGGTACTGGTTCGTCTTCGGTAGCCTCTTTTAAAACACTGTTTCGGTTGTCTGATGTTCTTTTTGTTCCTGGGCTTTCTGCGTCTTTATTATCCGTGCAACGGTTCGCCCGTGATAATAATGTATTCTTTGAATTTCACCCTGATTGTTTCTTTGTGAAAGATCGTTCAACCAGGGAAGTTCTGTATAGAGGGCAGGCTTCGGGGGGTCTCTATTCTTGGCCTGTTTCTCGTTCGAGTCCCGCTGCGTTAGTGGCTTCGCGTGTCTCCTCTGACGTTTGGCATGGTCGGTTGGGTCACCCTCATCCTCGTGTCTTGCGACAGATTTTGAATTCGTGTTCCATTGATTCTAGTTTTAGTAATAGTTCGGTGTCATGTCGTGCTTGTATGCTTGGGAAATCATCTCGGTTTCCCTTGCCTCGTGTCAATATTACTACGTCGCATGTTTTAGAGCTTATTTATACTGATATTTGGGGCCCATCGCCTTTTCTTTCTGTCAGTGGTTTTCGTTATTTTGTTTTGTTTGTTGATGACTACACACGCTATGTATGGTTTTATCCTATGCGATTAAAAACTGATGTGTATGCTATCTTCGAGCAGTTTCGGTCACTAGTTGAGCGTTCATATGGTCGTAAGATTGTCTCTATACAATCTGATTTAGGGGGAGAGTATAAACGGTTGCACCGTACTTTTGTCTCTTTGGGTATCAATCATAGGCAATCTTGTGCCTATACCCATGAGCAGAATGGTAGAGTTGAGCGTCGGCATCGTCACGTTGTGGAAACGGGTCTGGCTCTCTTGGCTCAGGCTTCGGTTCCACAGCGATATTGGGATTATGCCTTTGAGACTGCGGTCTATCTCATCAATAAAATGCCTACTCGAGTTCTAGACAATGTCAGTCCTCATTATCGTTTGCATCATTCTAATCCTTCTTATTCCTTCTTACGTGTGTTTGGCTGTCTCTGTTATCCTCTGTTGCGCCCGTACAATCGTAACAAGTTGCAGTATCGGTCATCCCCGTGTGTGTTTCTTGGTTATCCGTCTTCGTTTCGTGGCTATCGTTGTTTAGATCCTGCTACTAACAAGGTATTCATTTGTCGTCATGTACGGTTTGATGAGACCGTATATCCGTTTGCTTCTTCTATGCCTTCTCAGGTCTCTAGCTCTCGCCCGGTTGAGCCGTGAGGTGTTGGTGCCGTTCGGGTTGGTGTTGGCTCCGATGTTTGTCCCACTGGACCTGATCCTCATCCAGAGTTGGACGCGGATTCTGGGGCTGCCGCAGCTGGTTCAGATTCTCGCACCGTGACTGCTACAACTCCGGAAGGGGCGGTCTCGGGTGCTCCTACTGCGCCCAAGCGAGGCCGCCGTACGGCGAAGCCTGTTCAGCCTCGGTCTCATGTCATGGCAACCCGTTCTCAAGGACCGACGCAGCATGTGGCTCTTATGACTGTTCCTGAACCGACTTGTTATTCTCAGGCATTTCGGTATCCGGAGTGGCGTGAGGCCATGGATCTTGAGTTTAATGCCTTGCTCCAGAATCACACTTGGCGTCTGGTTAGTCGTACACCTGGCATGAACGTTGTGGGGTGCAAATGGGTGTTCAGAACGAAGCGCAAGGCCGATGGCACGATTGAGCGGCACAAGGCTCGATTGGTCGCAAAGGGTTTCAATCAAGTCGCTGGGCAAGACTTTTTTGAGACTTTCAGTCCTGTTGTCAAACCCACCACCGTGCGGCTTCTTCTCTCTTTAGCCGTTTCTCGCGGTTGGGTCATTCGGCAGTTGGATGTTCACAACGCCTTCCTCAATGGTAATCTTGCAGAGACAGTTTACATGAGACAGCCGCCCGGTTATGAAGACCAGTCACGGCCGGATGATGTGTGTTTGTTACAGAGGTCACTCTATGGTCTTAAGCAGGCTCCTCGAGCGTGGTTCAATAGGTTACATGCTTTCTTGGTGTCGGTTGGTTTTTCACCCTCCAAGACTGATGTTTCTTTATTCATCTATACTCGTGCCTCTATTTGTTTATATTTGCTTGTCTATGTTGATGATATCCTTGTTATGGGGTCTGATGCTTCGTGTGTTACTCGGCTTCTTACTGACTTAGCCTCGGAGTTTAAGATTCGTGACATGGGTGCTCCGTCTTTTTTTCTTGGCATTGAGACGGTCTCCAAGGATGGTGGTTTGTTTCTTTCTCAGCAGCGAT